TCTCTCTCTCTCTCTCTCTCTCTCTCTCTCTCTCTCTCTCTCCTCTCTCGCTCTATTTTTTAAAAAAAAGAGTCTTAAAACTTCAGAATGAGTAAAATCAAACAGTAATTAAAATAGAGAAAATAAAATAAAAACCATAATGAGATACTCTCACTTGCCTACTAGAAAAACAAAAGGTACCAAAGTCCCAAGTATGGGCAAAATGTGAATCAGTGAACTCACACACTAGTAGTTGGAACATGAAAGAGCTACTTTGAAAAATTGCTTGTTAGTATCTACTGAGCTGAACATACACATTGCATTCTTAGATGTGGGATATCCAAGAAAAGTGAAAATAAATATTCACCCTAAATTATGTACAAGACATCATTATTCATATGTCCAGTCACAAACTGGAAAATACCCAGAACTCCATAACAGACACATTTATTTTGAAATATCCATACAATGTAATACAACACACTAATGAGAAGGAATGATCTCCAGCTATAGACAACAATAAATGTAAATCTCACAGGAAATTCTGGAGGGAGCCAAACCAAAAAATAAATAAATAAATAACACCTACTATAAGATTCAGGAAATTTCTTCTAAATTCTTGATGGAGTTTGGGAATGGATGAGAAAAAAAATCAACACTCCATTTCTTTTAGGTATTTAGTGTTCTCTTATATTATCCAAAGAATAGCCTCAGGGAAACGTGATCCTAAGCCCTTGAAAAGCAATTTTCTACATACAGAAACAAGGTTAACACATGGCTGAGGGACAAATAACTGATTCAGAGATAAAAGACATACCTGGGCCACAGTGTCAGCCCTAACCCACAAATTGAAGGTGATTTTAGGTAACTCATCATATCTCCTCTGGCCTCACCTGCCAAAGACAGACTGAGTAATCCTACCTCTCAACTAGTGACATCTGAGGCACAGAGAACACTATGATCCCCACCTGGAAAAAAGCACTCTGCATTCCAAAAAGGTAAAAAATTCATGTTGTCAGTCCAAGGAATTATCTTAATAGCCAAGTTGTCTAAGGCATAGTAATTATGATGATTATTAACATTTTTGCTTTTATAACTATATTTTTCTTATATAGTTACCTTCTGGTTCAATGAAGAATGACTGCTGAAATGTAGATTAAATCAAAACAGTTATGATCCTGATGTAACATCAGCCACCTTGGACTGACATGGTTCAACAAAGATCTTTTTCTTCTTCTTAAAGGAGCTCTGCAGAGAAATTAGGGCAAACCCAGTTATACCATGTGAAAATTGTGTGACTTTACATCACCTTATAGTCACTCATTTTTCTCATCAATAGAACTAGCATTATGCAGTACATAGTGTAGAAGACTAAACATTTTTGAGACTATATTACTGATGCTTTAAAAAGATAAATGGTAAGGAATAGCATTATTTTATAAATTCTATTAAAGAGATGTTGGGTAAAAAAAATCTTATATCAGTTTACAACTAAATCTTATTCAACAACTGATGTGTTTTATTAAACCTCTAATTTTCACTATAACTACTACTGGCTAGCCAAACTATTGTAAAAACATCAAAGGCACTTGGAATAACTGATGTCAGAAAACTGAACCATTTTTTCACACAGCTGAATAAGTCCAGGGTTATCTTTGATTCTGACTTATGCCCTCACTGATGCATAGTACTGCAGGTTCCAACTGCCCTACCTCCAGACAAATCATGTCCAGATGCACCCCCTCCCTCTGCACACTGTTGCAGCAACATTCCCACCTGCTCTCATCATTCTCCTCATCCCTTGCAGTATTCTCCTAACGATCATCCTCAAACTCTATCTTGTTCCTCTCCGGTCAATTCTCCACAAAGTAGTGGTCACCTTCTGAAAAGAGGAATCAGATTGTATCACTTCTATCCTCTAACCCTCCATGCTCAGAATAAAATGAAAACTCCTAACATGAGCCAAACCCTGTGGCTCTGTATACCCTTTCCACTTTACCTCCCACCAGTCTGAATGTTGTCTGCCAGTCTTCCAGCCACTGAGTTTTACCCTGATCCTGGATTATCTGATGCCTATGCATAGTGCAGGGACACCAACAAAATGGTCTGCAATGTCTGGCTTCTTGTCATTCAGGACTCAGCTCAAATGCCACTTCTGAGAAATAACTGACAACTCCATTTATCATAATCCCTGTCCTAGTCATTTTCTACTCTGTTTATTCTCCTCATTGCACAAATCACCATATGAAATTACCCTGTGCATTGATTTGTTTCCCTGTTCATTGGCAGATTTCCCAGACTAGAATGACAGCTCCAGGAAGCCTGCTTATTTTGTTCTCTGTGCTGTTTCTCCAGTACCTAGATCAGAGTGTTGTATATAAATCACTTAAGAAATCTTACTTAATTGAAGGAATTAACCTATTTGATACACAGAGAATATACAGATACTTAAAGATAAATAGCAGGAGCAACCACTAATGGGATTAAACATCAAGATTCAAAATTATAGAAGACTTTGCAAATCCACAATGCTTTTCAAACCTGGATGAATATTAGAATCAATTTGAAAAATTACTCAAAGTGTAGTTTCTTCCCACCCACGCCCCCTGCTTTTGATTCAACACACTTAATGGTGGACACAAATACCTCCTATTTTAGTAAGCACCATCTAACAATTTTAATGAAGTTGTCTAAGGAATTCCTGACTTCAACAGCTCACGTTTGATTATCACTGATTTAATGCCACACTTGCAGAATTCTGGGACATCTGGAGTCTCCATTAATGTAATTGCTGGAAAGTGCCCTGATCCTTCCCTCCACCAGATACCAAATGTTCCTTTATCACACAGGATCACAAACAAACTTCAGTTTATTCCTGTTGGTTGGTAGGGCTGGGAATTGTTATCTTATTGTATAGACAAGAATGGTGATAGGAAAGAGACTTACCTTCAATGACCCTATGATCTCTTCACTCTTGCTCCAGTAACCTCTCCAGAAGACTCCACACTATACTTGATTCTTCTGTTTCTGTGGAGCAGAACTCCACACCTTTCTCTGATGTTACATTAGAAGGCAGAGAAAGGGAATAAAAAAAGCACACGGAAGGATTGTAAATTAGTACAACCACTATGGAAATCCATATAAAGGTTCCTCAAAAAACTAAGCATGGAACCACTATATTACTAAGCTATACCACTCCTCCGTATTTATCCTAAAGTATTAAAGTCATCATACTGTACTGATGTATGCATACCCATGTTTATAGCAGCACAATTCACAAGAGCCAAACTATGGAACCAGCATAGGTGTCCAACAATGGTTGAATGGATAGATAAAATGTCATATATACGCACAATGGAGTTTTATTCAGTCATATAGAAAATGAAATTATGTCAATTGTAGGAAAATAGATGGAACTTGAGACTATTATGTTCAGTGAAATAAGCCAACCCCAGAAGGTCAAAGATCATATCTTTTCTCTCATATATGGAAGTTAGAGAAGAAGAAAAAATAAAGTCAGGGTGGAATTTCAATCAAGGAAAGGGATGGGGTGAAAGGAGAGAAGGGAGAGTGATTAGCCAAAACATATTGTTATATTGTATGCATGTATGAGTATGTAACAACAAATCCCATCATTATGTACAATTCTAATGCACCAATAAAAATGTGGAAAGAGAAAAAAAGAGCACATGGAATACAGAGGAAAATAAGAGTATGAGAAAGTACATGAAATGCATGGGATAGGGTGGTGACATCTTGCCTATCCCTACTCAGTCAACTGGAAGCTGTGCAATAATGACACTTTTTCTCTCTCCTAACTCCATCCTACAACCTTCCTGCACACAGCAGTAACAGTAAGATTCACACAATGGAAATGTGGGCTGATTACTCTTAAATTCCCAGGTATTGGGCTGGGGTTGTGGCTCAGTGGTACAGCGCTTGCCTAGCAAGTGTGAGGTACTGGGTTTTATTCTTAGCACCACATATAAATAAATGAATAAAATAAAGATCCATCAACATTTAAAAAAATTTTTAAGAATTTCCAGGTATTATATCTGTAGTTATGCTGTTATATTAATATAAGAGATATAAGAGATATGACATTGACAGAATGAAGAGGCCAAGTTGGAATGGAGCCCTAACATTTGCTGAGTACTTTCTAGTTGCCACACTATGAACATTATTTTCAGACTCTTTACTCTTCAAATCTGAAAACAATGCTGTCAGGTGAGCACTTACTTCCTTTTTCCTGATAGAAAGGTAGAATGACAGAGCAAAGTAAATATTCAAGGAATTCTAAGGAGGTATAAAATTGACACCAAGGTCAACTTGAAGGGGCTTCCACAGGCAATTTTGATAGTAAGAGAGAGAGTAACCCTTTGAGAAAAATAGAAATCTCTGAATCATATGAAAATAAATACATGAATAAATAAAGATAAATAAAGGGGAAGTGCAAGATCTATGCTAAAAGACAATTAACTATTTTAGTACAGTTAAAGCATTAGAAGAAATGCAAAACATTTTTTAAAAGCAACCTTTGACAGCTGTCATGGTAATAGGCAATTCAAGCAATAATCATAAATGGATGCTCAGTCTGCACCAAATCCCACAATAGTCACTGAGTCACCATGGTAACCATGCTGGCCTAGGAGAGCTGGAAAAAAATAATCAAACAACCACTACCCTGATCTTGTTTCTAATATGTACTAGGAACTATTTAGGACTGATGTGACCATAGTAATTATCCTCAAATATCCCTCACTATAAACATCCCGGTAGCCTCAGCAATGAACACATTAATACATGCCTACATGCTCACGTGCATATTATCTCTCCCTCTCTCAACACCTATTTATTGCGGTAGTTTGCTGGGGGATAAAGAAGAAAAATCCTCCAAGATTCAACAGATTCAATTTTGACCACATATAAAGTTGAAATTATTTTAATCATGGATTTTTCTACAGATTATTTGTAGAATGGACTCCAGAACATTTTCTCCCAAGTTTCAGTACACTGTAGTAACTTTGAAAAGCTAACACAGAAACATAGGCAAACATTTGCTACTCATCAAATACTTTTTCACCATAGAATAAGTAGTCTGAGATTTCAAACTAACAACAGCTACCATTAAAACTTTGCCTGAGGGCTGGAGCTGACGCTCAGGGGTAGAGCACTTGCCTGGCATGTGTGAGGCCCTGGGTTCTATCCTCAGCACCACATATAAATAAATAAAATGAAAGATCCATCGACAACTAAAAAATATCTTTAAATTAAAAGAAAAAAACTTTTGCATGCTGACAGTTGAGTAAAAATAAAATATGTGGAAATTGTAATTAAAATACTGCCATTTACAATTGTATGAGGAAGCCTGAAGCCATTAAGAATAGTTTACTCACCAATATGCAATATCTGTAAATTGAACACTTCAAAATATTGCTCAAAGACATTAAAAACCTAAATAGAGGGATATATCATCTTCATGAGCCAGAAGAATCAGTATTATTAAGATGTATATTCTTCTCAAACTGATCTATAGATTTCCTGCAATCCCAAGAAAACTCTTAAAAGAACTCTTTTAAAAAATAACAGGCTAATTCTATATTTCATGGAGAAATAAACAGGACAGGGCCTAGACTTTGAAAACAACTTTGGATAAGAACAAAGAAGATGAATATCTGATTTCAAGACTCCTTATAAACCTATAATAATCAAGACACTGTGTAATGATACCAAGGTAGAAAAGCATATCAAAGAAACAGGGCCACATCTGTATGTTCAACTGCTTTTTTACAAAGCTAAAAAGGGAGTTTAGTGAGTAAATGATAGTCTTTTCAACAAATTTTGCAGAGCCAAGTGGATATCTATGTACACAAATGTAAATATATATGATCCATATACGGTAACATATATAAAAATCAACTCAAAATGGATTATGGATCTAAATGTAATACATAAAGCTGTAAAACTTCTAGTATAAAAAAAAACAAGAGAAACATCCTAATCCTTGTGATCTTGGGTTAGGAAATTATAACTTAGATATGATATGAAAACTACAATTCATAAGCAAAAAATTGAAAAATTGAACTTCCTTAAAGTTAAAAAATGTCTGATCTTTCAAATACATGATTGAGAAAATGGAAAGACATATGTGATAAATTATGAGTTAATCTAAAACTTGTTTGAGTATTAGATGACATTAAGGAGATTAAATGTGAAAAGGTTTTCTGGTTTTGTTTATAAGAGTCCTTATCATTTATAAATATATACTGAAGTGTTTATACATGAATAATGCAATGTATGAGATTTGCTTTGAAATAGCCTTAACATGTTCCAAAATACAGATAGATAGGAGAATAAGCTGTAGGTTTCTATTCCACAATAGGGCAACTGTAGTCTACAACAATATGTGGTATATTTCAACATAATTTAAAAAGAAAATCCAAAGGTTCCTAACACACAGAAAAGAAAAAAAAATTGAGAATACAAAAATGCTAATTTCCCTGATTGGTCATTACACATTGTATACAAGTACTGTGTGGGAGGCCGAGCTTATGGGTGACTGAATTACACTCCCCAGCTGGGTGCTGAGGTGCTCAGTCACAGAAATGGGTGTGTCTTACTACAGCCCCATGGGTGGAGCTAGGCTCACCTGTTCCTTTGTAATATAACCCCTTGCCCTGTTTAGGATAGAATCTTCCATGGAAGTGCCTTGGGTGTGTCCCCTCCTCTTACTGTGCCCTTGGGTGTGGCCTGCCCAGGTGTCAGTCAACCTGCTGACAGTGGACATCATGAAGATAGACTCAGCCCTGAAACCTGACCCCTTGCCTCATTTGAATAGCTTCTCCTCAATAAAAGGGGTCAGCGGGTGCCTTGCTCTCTCTCTTTCTGCAGACCCTTAAGGTCAGAGGAGCCGCCGTAACAGCAACCCCAAAGAAACACGTATTTGTGTCTCTTGTGTGGTTATTTCGTGCAGCCCAGTTAGCCCAGTTTAACTAGAGTGACCCCTGAGCCTTTTAGTCGTGAGAACAGAAACCCAGCAGTACTGAATTTTATACTGTACCCAAAATATGTACAAATATTATGTGCCAATTAAAAATCTTAGAAAATCAGCCAGGCATAGTGGCACACGCCTATAATCCCAAGGGCTCAGGAGGCTGAGGCAGGATCGTGAGTTCAAAGCCAGCCTTGGCAAAAGCAAGGTGCTAAGCAACTCAGTGAGACCCTGTCTCTAAATAAAATATAAAATAGGGCTGGGGAGACTCAGTGGTCAAGTGCCCCTGAGTTCATTCCCTATACCCCTCCCCCGCCAAAAAAAACTTAGAAAATTTTTTAAAAAATTGTATCCAGAATACAGAATATCTCACAAAAGTCACTAAGAAAATGGATAATCCAGTAAATGAATGAGCAAAAGATTTGAATAGGCACTACAATAAGAAATATAAATGTCAAATAAAAACATGAAAGATACTCAACAACATTAATCATTAGAGAAGTGAAATTATAACTATATTGGGACACTAATACATTCCCATGGGAATGGCTAAAATTAAAAAGACACCATAATAAGCATTAGTAAGGCTGTGGAGGGTTAAACATTCATACACTGATGATGACAATGATAAATAGTAGAATACTTTGGAAACAGTTTAGCAGTTTCTTATAATAATAATAATAATAATAATAATAATAATAATAATAATTTTTTGGTACTGGGAATTGAATCCAGGGGCACTCAACCACTGAGCTATGCCCCCAAGACTCTGTGTATTTTATTTAGAGACAGGGTCTCAACTGAGTTGCTTAGTGCCTTGCTAAGTTGCTGAGGCTAGCTTTCAATTCATGATCCTCATGTCTCAGCCTCCCAAACCAGTGGGATTACAGGCATGCACCATTGGGCCTGGCTTAAAATGTTAATTTTGTATTTATGATATGATGCAGCCATTACATTTGTAAACATTTTCCCTAGAGAAAGAAAGCATATTTAAAAAAAAAAACTTATTCACACTTATTCATAGCAGCTTTCTTTACAGGAGCTCAAATTAGAAACAATCAAAA